CTTTCACCCGGATAGGCTGCGGCCCTCCGTGATTCCAAACAGGATAATCGTGATCGAAAATGGATGAGATGCCAAAATTATTTTGGTCCTTTATTTGTTTATATTTTCAGAGCTGTACATGTACATATAAATAAATACGTGCATGTGAATGACAACGATTGAATGACTTTCCACAAGTTCGTAGGCCTACAATTAAAACACCTTGCCAATCCCTTTTTTAAAGCTCCAAGACCACCGTAGTTGTTGCCTGTGTTCTGCAAAACCAAAGTAAGCCAATATTGCAAAACCGGTAATGCAAACTTTCAAAGGAAGGGAACAAAAAAATACAGTAGCCGAAATACTCAGGGGCATAATTTACGAAAATCCTAATTACAGAGTTTCAACTGGCGCCTTGACATTGCCGGCCGGATGATTCTGCCCTTTAAATGAGTCCCGTTCCATCTGGCTGTAGCCAGCCGGGAGGTGTCCTGAAATGATTTGTTCCTTCAAAGCCTGATGTTTGTCTTAAGTCTGTAAGTCAACATACGGATGCCCTCAAACGAACACGATGTGGCTTTTTACCCACACTGACCCGAATGGTTTATTTATTTATGGAGAGCAACATAAAATGCAGGTAACCCTAAATAGAAGTCAATTTAAAAAAAAAAGGCCAGAGTTTTGGTACCTCATAGCTGGGTCCACGGATGACAAGGGGTCCAATTTTACACGCGGGAAATCTGTCAAAAATAGCCTTCAAGAAACACAGTCCTGCCTTTCAGTGAAACATTGACAGCCCAAAGCAACACGAAACCGTTTGTACGGCCGATGGCCGCCTCTATATGTGTACGATGTATCATTCGATCTCATAAACGTCCTGAATTGCACATCACATTCTGCACGTGTTTCATATGCAACTGTGAGTGTAAATCTCTTACTTGCATTCCTTGCTTCAGACCTATCAGGAGCACAATGACATGCTGGAAGAGGATACCAGCACTCCCGAGAACCAGGACGCTCTCCCAGCGGAGGAGGCGACCGATGGCACAAGCGATAGCGGAAGCTCGGCGGATGCGGAGGAGGAAGAGCAGTCCGAAACCGAGCAGAGCAGTGAGGAGACCACGGCCACGCCTGGAGCTGCTGACAGCGATTCGGATGAGAGCGACAGCATGGAGAGTGACTCAGATGAGCGCGAGACGGGCCGTGAAACCACCGACATGCCGGTGGTCATCACCGCCAAATAAATCATCCGGAAAATCCCGTTCGGGTCCACTTCGGGAGACACTTCTTCCAGCAGGGACAATCCAAAACGCTTGTTTACGATCATTTATTGGTCGGGTTCACGGAATAATTGTGAGCTCAGTGGCACAACTTTATTTGTCGAAATTAAAACAGGTCTTGACTGCTGAATTCCAAAATTTAATCTGGAAGAAAATACCACAACCAATCAAAACATATCAGGGTCGCACTCCAGGGGACGCGCAGTTGGCTCCAAATGCGCGTCATCAATTCAAGCATCATAACTTTGAAGCCATGTATTTGCCTCCTGTGTCGTTGAGCGTGTTGCTTGCTATCGTATCAAATCTGTTGTTGTCCTCAGTTCTTACTTTACACGACATGTTGGCACCTGCCCCTTCATGTCTATCGTAACGTATGTTTTTTTTTGTACCATTTCTAAAGTATAAATAAAATTATTTTACTTTAATCCACCCTGGGACACGGCTTATTTATTTTGTCACAGTTTTGCTCACACAGAACATCTTGAATCATTCAGCCGGCGGACAAAATTCTGCCTGCTATTATTATGCATTGTGACCGCAACTGCGGTGGAAATAATGAACCGTCGTTGGCTGTGAATTAATGAGGAATAAATCATTTTACTGTCGTAAACATGTGCCTATTTGTGAACATGTCTTTTGCATTTAATCTATGAAAGTGGTGAAGACGGCATCAATTTGAAATGATACAAATAGACGAACGCACATACAACATCAGCAAATGTTAGCTTCGGCAAAATGATCTCGGCCTTAACCCCCCCCCCCCACCCCCAAAAAAAAATCTTGACAAGC